GCTGGATTGTTGCATACGCGGCAGCGAGGTTATTAACGGTCTCAAAAAGTTTTGAGACTGACTCGACTCTCGGGTTCCAGCTTCCGAGGGAAACTTCCACTTCCGCTCCATCCTGTAATATTCTCTTTCCCGGAGACTTTCTTCGAAAATTGAGCTCGAATTTCTCATTTCTTTGAATCACGCAGCCTGAGAAATGTCTAGAACTTCAGAGGGATGAAGCGCTCGGAGAGAACCCTTGACACAAGCGAGAATCCATCGCTCTCGAGCCTGGGATCGTTGTTTAGTGATTTGAGAAATGGAAAAGATTGAGGAAGACGGCGGCTTGCCATGTGAGTCTGTTCCATTGTACAGTTCTGGCGCGAGGTCTGAATTAAAATTCTGGAATTGCAGTTCTCGCGATGATTACGGATCATGAAAGTTATTTCTAGAAGATCCGAAAACTGTATAGAGTATTAAAAAAATTGACGGATCGTTCACGATGGGGTCATCGGGCATCCGGTCCCTGTTGGGAGGAGTGCCGTTCGGGAATTTTGAGAAGCTCGGCGCTAGCGTCGGAGCTCGCAACAAGCGAATGCGGGGAGAGATATCTCCCCGACGGATCTCGTTCTGGATCCTCCGCTGCCGTCTCGACACGAATCCTATCGGCGATAGAAACTTTTCAGAGTGAACGATGCGGTTGCAAGTTTCGTATTCAATCGCTCTGATAGGATTGCCAGTCGGTTCGCCGAGCGTACCCCCCTCCTACCGCAACATCCCGCATCGGGCGTCCGTTTGAGCAACTGTTGAGCGAGACGCAATCAGTGTTGTTGCTCTGCATCGTACTAATATCTCATCAAACGAGCGTACGAGCGAACGAGCAGGCGAGCCAGCTGCGATGCTGGCATGAAAATTTGTTGCTCTCGGATCAGCTTCGCTGTCAGTGTTCCCCCCGACCGAATATCCATTCCCCTTCTCCACACGGAACTCGCGGTCGCTTTGAATGTCCCTCGGTTGACAGAGAACAACATTACTCCTCACTCGCCTGTTTTGTTCCGGAGGGAAGTGTAGGGGTGGACGCACCGATCCCCATTCCGCACGCTCGCTTCGGTGAGATACGTGGAGTGCAGTGTCGCACGCGTGAGTTACAATAATCGAGCGTCGGCGGCGAGAGATATATAGCATATATTTATAGCATATAAAGCACGCCGGGATGGTACGTCCAGATATAGAAACGCGGTCTGAATAATTAAAGATAGTAATACTTCGAGAAAGACCTGGGAACGTATTTCCATCAAACGATATTTCCGGTGTCGTCACTCTTCCCTAAGTAGAATTCCGTGTCCTGATTCTGGGTACAAGAAAACTCGACGCTGATCTTCTCCTGACGCAGAGGATTCAGCGAAAGATCCCCCTCGCATGTTCTTCCTGTGTGGCTCGGGTTCCTGCATCTCCCGCGTCATTCGGCTTTTGACGATGTGATTTGTGTGTGCATTCGTACCGAACTCCGAATATCTCAGCCGTCGACTTCATCATCGTTCCCGAGGAGCGATCCCTGCACAGGATGAAAAGCCTGAGCCGTCACGGGACACGATCCGAAAGTTGCGGTGCTGACGAGGCGCTACGTCGGCGAGTCATCTACGAGGAATAACTTCTTTCTACGAGAGAATATCTCCTGGAATTATTGCGCTTATCGCGAGTGATCCATGGTTCCCCGCGAGACATATATATCTCCATCATAATCATTCCTGCACCATGACTCATCACAATCATAAATCCTTAGATCCCCAGCATCGCGCTGCATTGTATCCGTGCTTCCGGCGAGCTCCCATACCGGACTTCATCTTTCATCTCCGACCGATTTATTTATGATGTCACGCTTCGCCCTGAGAATTGCCGTTTGCCATGCACTCGGCCGAACGAGGACAAATCCCATCGAAACGACGGAAACTTGAAGCTTCTTCCAGATGCTGTGATCAAGCGAACAATCTTCGGCTTCGTGAAAGATTCGCGAAGTGCATAATTCAACATCTGGGAGTACTTCACGTCCATGAGAGCTTGGCCGCTACTCCCCCTCAGTTCTCGGAGAGAAACACTCTATAAAGCGATCCGTATTCAAAACGAGGCCAGGGAAAAGCCAATACCTTCATCCCTGTCCACTCCGAGGTAATCTAATAAAGACCAGATGTTGTGGTCGAGGCCACAGAAATCGCTTCTCTGAAAACTCTCCTGTAGACCCTCATGATGTTGGGCAAAACGGATTACGTAAACTTAGTCGATGTCCATGGTCGTCGACCTACTCGTTCGTTTGTCAGACTGCCCGAGCTTCTCTTGGCTCTCGGCCTGTCAGCAGCACTTGGTTTCATGTTCGGTGGAAGCAAAAGAAGCGAGTCTTGCGGAGGACAAGCGGTTTCTCAGTCACATTAGCTAGAAACAAGACCTTGAGCGGGTCCAACAAGCTGATTAGGTTAAGGCTCTCCTCCGGTCTGTTGCCATCGTGGGTCCTCGTTTACTACTCACTTCTCCGACGTCCTCTTATCGACCATCTTGTGGTCGTCCTCGTCATAGCCTCGGAGAAGGTCCAAGCTCTACTGGGCTCAAATCGGGCTCGCGAGTCCCGAGCTCGATGTCTCCGTTGCCAGGAGCTCTACGGCTACGACGCGTATCGGTATCGCCGCGAGGACTCGACCGCTCGTTGAAACATTCCGCGCGGCTTTCCCGCAGCAGATGGTGCGAGTTCCGAGTTCCCGAGTTCAACCGCTACCCGCTAGGGTAGGGTGCCAATTTGAGTCGTCAGGTTAATCGATTGGAAATAGAATACCACAGCGCGGGTTTCCTGCAAAAGCTTCCCTGATAACCCGGTACTGAGAGGACCGCGATTATTATTTATCAGTGCGCGGCTTGTTTTCGTGCGCCCTACATCGGTTCCGTGCTAATGTAATACGTTTTCGCGTCGGCTATGACATCCCCCCCCCGCAAGCGTTTCTGACATTGTTGTCGATATGCACAGCGGCTGCGAATGACAATATCGTCGAGGACATGCGATTGACGGAAGGTGATCGAGCTCGGTCGACGTTTTTTTCGAGAGAGGCGGGGGACGGATTCCACCGATGACGGCGATGTTTTCCGTTATTGAAGGCCCTCCAACGAACCCCCGAGCTTGACATTCTCGAAAAGAGGAGAATTCGATGCCATGGGACACAGCACCGCTTTTCATGGTTCAATGTTTCTGGGCCGGGAGCTTCTCTCTCTTTCCGCTCTAGCTACCTACTGTGTGGTTCGGGACTTCAGAGGATGACAGGCCCGGGTTTTCCACCTGGCTCACTCTCTAATTAGGGCTCCGACGTGCCGACTGTCGGGAAGAGGATTTTCGTGGAGTCCCTTCTCCTGCATGGAGGACTTTCGATCTTTTCATGGGGAGTTTGAGGAGGATACTTCTAGCCGAACCCTCTCCTCTCGGAAGAGATGTCATTGATCGCCGATCCCATCATGGATGATCCTGTGAATTGGAATAGCTATCAGACCGTTCCATTCGTCCGAGTCGTGCCCCACATAATCCACGGGCAGACCTGCTCCCGTGCATCTTCCCTTCCGTTCGGGTGGATTCGTGCCAGAGGATTCCGTTCCCGTCGAATATCATCGGGAACTGTCGGATGCTAGCAAGCTCAAAAAGAACTGGATTTGGAGGTATGTATTTTGAAAAAAAAGCAAAGGGACTCCACTTCTGAGTTCGAGTCCCTGAGCAGTCGAGAAGGGGTCTTCCCGGAGCGTTCTGACACCTCATTTTCCCTATCCACCCTTTCCCCTTCAATTTTCCCCAAAATCACAATCGCCCGTTTCGCGACGATGCGCGATGTTCTTGGATAATATAACTGGTCAGAATCTATGCCAGAACCTGATGGGGGAAAGAAAACAGAGTTCTCGGTCTATGTCATGTAGAAAAGTTTATTTACAGTAGACTCTGAATTGCTCAATGACTAAACTTGAGAGGCACGTGGCCTTAGCTGCTGCTTCTAAAGGGTATTGCTTGCTTTATTTATATACACCTCATCCCTATCGACGCATCGTCGATTCTCCTTGTTCCACTCGATTTTTCGGCTCTCTTTCCCACCCGATCCGCTTCTCTCTTACACCTTTCACCTCATACGCGAAATCATTCCCCCCCCTCGCACAAATAACACCCTATCTCTCCCCACGAGTTGGCACCTTCAGGTAAAATAACTTTTGTACCTCACACGTGAAGCTGTGATATGCCTGGCGATCCCACCCTGGCCTGATGAATTGCCTATTGAAAACAACTCTTTTCGTAGCAGTAGTGGAAGTAGGAGTCGTCGGAGATATCTTCTCAAGATCTAACGATCGGGAACAGAACCAGAGGCGACTTTGAAGTAATGAAAAAGAAGGATACGAAAGAAAATATCGTCCAGCCCGACGTAAACAAAATCTATGGCCTCGATTCCAGGGAGAAACCGAACCAAGATCGTACTATGCGGCCGTTGGGAGCTACCTACACGAAACCCCAGACGACATCTTCCAAATTCTGTGTTGGACGATCCCCACGATCGATCACCCGAAGATCCTGTCGGACCGGCGCACAGCGACTGATTAAATGGCCGTATGACCGATCTCTGACTCGCGGCAGTTTAGATTTCACCAAAATCGAACGAAAGAGTCCCTGGAGCTCCATGAAATTATAACTCAGAATTCAATCAAATGGAGGCATGCAATCCGAAAGTGCTGACGGAGTCCCTCTAGAGGACTGCGTGCATTCCAGAGAGTTCGCCACCTCCCGACACATCGGAACAGATCAAACTGAAACGTGATATGAAATAATTGAAGATCGAACTTGATCGCGTTGATATCCACCCGAAACAGAATCGATTGGTGGGTCGTCGCTGCCGCCGCCGCCGCCATTTCGACTAGCGCTCATTCCCTAAACGAAACACAAAGTATCATGGCAGTATTAAAGGAGGTGGGCCGAACCAGTGGCAGCAAATTGTGCAGTGAGATCGTGGTCCGTTCTTAGTTCCTCATTTCCATTCGCTTCATCATCATCATCGTCGTCGTCGTCGTTCGGAAAGTCGGCATCCTCGTTATCGGCCCGCTCGAGAACGTCGATGATCGCTCCTAGATTTGCTGCTGCTGCATCTTGATCAAGTCCTGCAACGTGTTGAGCGCGTACTGGATCCGCGAGCGGATCGCCGGTGAACAGCCGACCCTGGAGAGTTCGTTGAGCGCGTACGTCGTTCCCTTCCGGTCTTCGTTGATGTACATCAACAAGGGATCCGAGGGCCGTTCACAATTGACCACCATTTTCGTGTGGTCCGACAAGAAGTTCACCTGCAATTCCCGGGAAGAAAACACAGAGCGTCAGTTTCCCATTGTTGCCTCTCCGGACGGATCGTCGCGTCGTAGGAAAGAGCTCGGAGCCGACATGGGTCCAAGGGCCGATAGCCCAGCGATACGGAGTTGATCTGTTTGATCGAGTATTGCCCCGAGACCTGTCCCCGTTTATGATCAGAGGGTATCCAAGAGTACAATACATCTTTTCTGGGCATGATTGTTTGCGCCATTCCTCCGCCCATTCCGTACTGAGTTCCTCCGTCGTTTCTCTCTGCTCAGTTCTAGCCGACATCATGAACGATGTTTTCTCGCTTATCTGAGCCAAACAGGCGCCGTCGGACATGCGAATCAATCTCAATCCGTATAAGATAACAAGCTACCTGTATTGTGCTGCAAGAAAGTTGCATGACAATCGCCTGGTTCGTCCGCACCCAGCGTTTCATGAAGGGGATGCATTGTTTGCGACGCATCGCTTCCTGCTGCTGTTCCAAGTCGCCACCCTGCAAGTAATTAGGAGGCTGTCAGGAGATTTCCAGGATTCCACCGCCTCGGCCCCTGACTCTGGGCTGCTGGTCTGACGACTGTGTCTTCTATCGGGAGGAATTCTCGAATGTGTCGAGCGATTCGAGAGAGGTAGGTACACCAGCAGATTCTCTCCGTCAATTGAACACACGATGACAGGGATGGGCAGAGAGAGCCCATTCACCCGCAAAGGACAGATTCGTTTTCGCTCGAGATGCAGGACTGTGTCAGATAACGCGAGAGACTGCCGATCACGTACCTCGTTGAGATTTTCTTCCATGTAGTTAGCGAAGTACTTCAAAACATTGAAGCGATCTTCAAGGGCTGGCGGTATCGAGCCTGGGGTGAAAACGCTCATCTTGCCGCTGATTTCATGGTACTCGACCCTCCTGCGGAGAGAAAGGAAACGTCAGTTAAGCGAAGAGGCATAGATTCCCGTTCTCCTGCGGAGTCGAAGTCAGCTGTTTTCGGCTCCGAAGTCGAGTCCCCTGACTGGAATTAGCGCCCGCGTTGAAGCACAAATGAAAATCCCGCCTCCGCTCGGACGCATCGCAGAGCAGCTCTCTGATCATGGCTTTTACGCCAGGTTCCGACGAAAATATTCCGCAGTTTTGATAAATGGATTCTACGGGAGCTATAACAAATCGTTCTCCGGTCTCGCCTGTGACGTAACACTCACTGTCGATTCGATGAATAGCTGATCCGCGTAGTGTCGTTGAAAAGAACGCCCACGCTGTGGTCGGACAGTTGGAAGCCAAAACCATATTTGTTGGAGTAGTCGATCCATTTCGTCACGAACGGAACGCAAACTCCGCTCACGGGGACCGGGTTCACCTCGGATGCCACTGGAGGTAGAAAGGAGCGAAATTTAGTCCAGCTCCAAAGACTCTCCATCCGCTGAAGGAAAGCCATCAGGCAGGTGGTGTCACCCGCAGCAGAGAAAATCTCCGGATGGCTCGCTCGCTCGGCTGGCGATGTATGGTTCGATAAGTCAGGTACTCACAGTCTGATATTTGCTCAACGGCCTTCGACAGAGTTCTGTGCAGGAGCATTGTGGTGCCCATCTTGTTCTTCTTGAGTCCTGCCCGAGAGAAAGGAACGATGCTCAGTGAAGGCGTTGCCCAACAGACATAGAACAAACTGGTAATAAAAATAAATCGGAGCCGGATAAAACATCTCCTGATGTGACGCTCCCAATATCTCTAGATCGACATTGGAGGATCGAGAAGCCCCGAGTTTGTAGAATAATTTCGAAGCAGCAAAGGCAGCGTGATCTTGTGGCATTCGGCTGTCTTCCGAAAAACCGGTACTGGCTCCGGAGCGACGACCTCCTTCGCTAGGCATCGTCTAAGTGGCCACTCAAACCCCAGGAATCTCTATATCATGTGTCACCTTAGATACAATCGGATCGCGATCGGTTTCGGTCTAATTTTCGTTGAACCTCCATCATGTTCAAAGGCGAATTCGCCAAGATCGATATTTCCCCCGGGGATCGATCAGTCTCTTGAATCGCATGGATTCATGCACCAGAGAAGGGCATCGGAATTATGCTCACTGAGAGCGATTAATCTCCATTCGAGTTTTCTAAGCTCCAGAATCCAGCCCCCAGTGCGCATTGAGACCGATCGCGAATTGATCACCGACATGTCTCCCGGCAACTAATTTATATCGATGACGACGCAGACTGCTTTCGTTAGAAAATTGTAGCGTTGAGCCGGAACCGCGAATCGCGCCACCGCGCTCGACGTTCAGCTTCATACGGGAGGCTCAGATCCAAAGTTTGGTCTCCATAGAATGTCCGATAGCCGGGTTGAGAATGAATTTCCCTTTATCTTACCTGCGGTGTCTGGACACAATACAGAATGGATCCGTTGCCGGAAGGCTTGAGGGAACGAGCTCTTGCCCAGGCGGTTCGGTGAGTTCGGTTTGAGTACGGGAGAACCCGCGGGGCTCCGGGGCGTCTGCGATGGGAACGATAGCTGCTTGATTAGAGTCGTGGCATTGTTTATGGAAGCAGTCAAAACACTTGGCCTGCGTTTCCACGGGCATGCATGCTATATACGATCCTTCGACAGATGCGGACGGATGGAGCGAGCGAATTCAACGACCGTGTCCGAAGAGGGGCGATAAGGGTCCGCTTACCTTTGTACCCTGCGGCGGCGGGTCGATGTTGATGTTGGCAACCATGGCGGTGAGCTTGTTGGTCGCGTCTTTTTCTCTGTCCGGGCTTTTGCTGTAGAAGCGCGGGGCAGAATAGCAGCACGTCGAACTCAGTTGCCTCGGATTATAGCCTGAAATGATGAAGAGAAAAATGCTCTCAGAAATTCACGCAATTGATTCCTCTCATCGCAAAGTCCCTCGGAAGAGCCTGACACCTTCTGATTGAATTCGATCTTCCACCGAGTTTGGGGGATTGTTTCGAGAAAAAGCTAATGATCCGTGGGGAACCTTCGAACTCTCGCAAGCCTCGGTGTATTTGATCATCACACAAAGGGGCATGCAGGGGAAAGTCCACGGTTTCGCTCCTCTCAGAATTAGAGGGTCGGCCCCTCTTGCTAGCGCTCCGAATCCGCACATGGCTATGGCCCGATCGCTCCCAGAACGGTCTCTCGGAGAGTGGGACTCTGCCGGATTAGAAGTGAACGACCGCATTGGCTAAATTTTGGCTGGGAGAGCGCGATCGACGAATTCACGCATTGCCTCGCGTCCAGCTTCCAGCTCGGTCACCGAAAACGTTCGAGGCCCGGAAACGTTCGAGCAGGTGCGTCGAAAAGAGTCTCACGAGGAACCAGAGAAATATGAGGGGAATATGTATATTGGAACACGCGAAACTCCTATGCGCGACTCCACCCAAAAGGGTGTTTTTCCTCCATGCTGTTTCTCGAACCGGACGCCCCCCTCCGAGGTATCCTCGCGGCGGTTCGGCCGCGTTCTTTAGCGAAGCCTTTTATCTTTATTCTTCAAAGAATTTCCTCGCGTCGCTTCATTCAGGCAAGCTCAAGAATGTCCTGTCGTCTTGTCCTTTTACACTCGTCAACTTCCAATCTCAAAGTCCAAGGCGGTTCCTTTTTCCCTTCTCATTCTTCGACAATCATAACCAAATATTCAATTCCCTTAATCCCATCCTCATGTCTTTCCATCTCTTTCCCGTCATCGAGGTCTCAAGGACCCCCGAAACTCCGGGCAGAGGGAGCTATTTAGCCATTCAAGCTCGTCCTGGGGGGAACGCCCCGGACAACTTGAATTCGGCTCGTTTCAGGCTCATTGAGCTCTCGCGACAAAAGACGACGAGCTCTGAGAAAGCTTCCTTCTTCAATGAGAACGGAGTTCCCCATGAGCCGAGATTGGATGGAATGAATTCAGAGGAATCGATAATCATGCATGATTTGAAGTCGATTCCGCTGATTCCATTGATGGGGACTCCCGTCGTAATGATAATGACAATCTCACCTGAAGTGAAGAAATCGTGTTGGAGGATCTGGTCCAGTGTCGGCCTGTCTTGCGGTCGGGGACGGAGCAGCCATTGGATGAGCTCTTGGGCCGGTTCCGAGATATTTTCCGGGATCGAGTACACGTTGTTGGTGATCCTGTCATTGGGAACAGTCTAAACGTTAGCGGTATCCTAACACCGAGAGAGCCAATAAAAGACAGTGAGAACAGGAAAGACGGTGAGGGAACTTCTCATTTACCTTTCGTACGTGTCGCTCAACGAGGACGTCTCGAAAGGAGGACAACCGACCAGCATCGCATACATGATACAGCCTATGGCCCAGACATCAGCTTCGAAACCGTGCCCTTTCAGCATGAGAACTTCAGGAGCAATGTAGTTCGGCGTTCCGCAGACCGTTCTGTGAAAAGAGTAAACGAGTAGGTCGCTGACAAACAGGCGGGCTCCGCTCGGGCAAGTACCTCGGTAGAGGTTTTTCCTCATTTCTCTTCAAGCCCCTACCCCCCACCCCTTCGCCATCCCCCGCTCTCTTCGCCATCTCGTGAGATGCTTGACGGCGAGCAAACAATATGAGCAACAGCTATCTTTTGTGAGTCAACCTCAGAGGGATATTAACTACGCGAGGGCCGGTAAGAGTCGTCGAAAGAGATATGACGGCGGCGGATGGAGGACGTCCCGAAGGCAGAGTAGCTGGCCAAGCAACAGCAGTGATAATTGCGAACGAAGAAAACCCTTCGATTTATGGCAGGAGGGCGGAAAGCTCCCGGAACGGATGCGTTCCCGCCGCGGCCAAATGCACCCGCTTGGCGCAGAATCCTATTTGTACTGGCGCACGACAAGACATTAGGCCCGAGTCAGAGCTAGGTGGATGGCGCTCCTGCCGCAGCCCAGCCGCGTCCGCCTCCTTTGTCCCGCGTCGCCTACAATCGCCAGTCGACACTCCGAAAATGGCGAAGCCAGAAGGAGTCGGCAGACGTTGCTTAGGGAGTTAGGTGACGTCTGTATTCGCTCCTCTTGCCCAGGGTCGGGCGCTAACGTGGACGGAAAGAGGAAATACGTGGATCGACTCGTGCAGGGGCTAGGGATTGACTCTTTTTATCGGCGGCGCGTACTACACTCCGCGGAATACTTCCGTATCACAGAAGAGGGATGTTTTTTCAGGAGCTGTACTTACATTTTCTTAGAACCGTCGTGATTGATATTGTGTGCTTTGGCAGCGAGTCCGAAATCGCCAATTTTAACTTGCATATTGTCGGACAGGAACATGTTTCCCAGTTTCAAGTCCCGGTGCATCACACCTTGCGAATGGATGTACTTGACGCCGTCGACGAGCTGAGCCATGAAGAACCGCACTTCGGGTTCCGTTAGTACTTTACGGTTTTTCAGTACGTGTACCAGCGACTGTAAAGCATAGTAAATTTAGTTTTGGGCGGCGTTCGTTTTGACGTCGCAGTTTCGACGTCCGCGTTTGCCGCTACTTGGTCGCGCGCGCTTGTGCCCTCACTCGTCCGCTTCATCGCTGAACGTCCGGCGGACGCGACTTCGACAATGTTGAGTCGACACTTCACCGCCTTTGCTGTGCACCCACAGCTGAACCCATGACTATTCCACAGCGGACCTTCCGGCGCTCCGAAGGGACAACAAATCGAAGGAAGGGGCCCATCGCGCACGGCAGTAGCACTCGAGTGAGGAGCTCTCTGTCAAGCTTTGCGAACAAGAGGGCGAAGGCTCCCGGACGATGCTCGTAAAAAAGTTGGAAGAATATTATTGTCGAGAATTTCGAGCTCACCTTTCGGGGGCAGTACTCCAGAACAATGTAGACATTCATTTCATCTTTGAAAAAATGGTGGAATCGCACGACGTGTTTGTGAGACAGCGGTTCGTGGATCTCGATCTCTCGGTAGAGCTAGAGAGGAGGAAAGTCATCTCGTTAATCAGGTGTACCGGATCCATCGACAACGGACCAAGATACACAGCCGTTGGCGACCGAGTTAGGCTTGCCACGCAACAGCTACGCAGCAGTCGGCGTCGCGCTACTGAGCCAAATCAAAATCGATAGCTTCTTCGGGACAGAATCATTTGCCCGCTCAAAGCCAACTCATTATTTCAGTCGGTTAAGGGAAGCGACCGCCATTCCGTCATTGAGACGGTCGGGCGGGTGTTTTGGCAGACGATCGTCTAGCTGCAAAAACGTAGTTCGGCCGCGGGCGTTCTATTTATTGCAAGCGTCGTGGACGTACCTTTTTCCGCTGATCGCTCGTCGTCAACCGCGATCTCGGGATGATTTTTCCCGCGTAGGTCCGATTCGACGTGAGGTCTGTCAATTCATGTACACGGGCGAAGCCTCCCTGCAAGGATGAAGATGAGAATTGAGAATACCAAACATATGAAATCGGATTAGAATTAGCATTTGACGGCACGAATTCAATCTCCGATATGATGGTGAGCCATCAAACGCAGAAATCACAATGACAAAGAATATGGTAATAACGAGGAGATGCTTCGGACGTTCAGGTGAGGATCTGGCTCACAAAGACGACCTTGCTCCTGCGTAGATTCGACATTCATATGATTTATCGAGCAGCGTGAATGGGACAGAAAACACGTCATCTGTTCCCATCGGCCGACTGTTTGCGGAGGAGTTGTGTTTCCGGTTTCATATTCATGCGACTTGAGACCGCCACGAATTCACGAAACGTGAAATAAAATGGTAGGCAAAAACGGGAAGGCAAAAAGAACCATCGGAGCTCTGAGCTCCGCCGCCTCGCGGCTCGCGGGACAATTATTATCTTTGTCTTAGCGAAGCTCCTGCATGACGAGTTTCCCTGAGTTTTTGGAGAGACATAAGCGGCGAAGCTTTCTCTTCCGATCCCGTCACGAGTCCCACGACGGTATTTATGCTACAACAAGGATCAAAATATCCGTGACAGAGCGTTCCGCGGTCATACAACGGGAATTTTTTAGCGAGTGACTCCGTTATTCCACACTTGAATGACGCAGGGTTTCGTCTTCCGAGCCCGGCAGCCACAACAACTGGAGCCGGAGCTTCAAAGAAGCGTCATATTGAGAAAGTTGGAGCGGAAGTGTGCGCGTCTAGAAACTGCGAGTATCAATTCTGTTGCTTTGTTCATAGAGCGAAAGCCGAGATGGTCGCGAAGAACGAGCGATCATGGTTGTCGGCGTCCATTTAGGATCGCAACCAACAGCACCATCCTCAGAGTCATCATGATGATGGTCATAATCATCATCATCATCATGAGTTTGATCGTAAGCAAGCGAATACTTTGATGGAATTCGAGCGTTCGGCTCTCGGACCCCGGACCAGGATCCATCCGTTCGTTCCGTTGAGCTTTTCGGTCGACTTCATATATTTCGTCTTCGGACTCCTCTTCCATTTTGTCGGATTGAATTTTCCGCTTTCTGTCATCGTTTGCTTGGCATTCGCGAGTGGACGTGTCTGCACGAGATAACAGCCGAGTGACTGCTGCCGATGCCGTCCGACCGTACGGGAGGGGAGGGATCCATCCGATCGCTTCTGTCACTGCCGTCGCCGTCCATGGCGGGATGTCATCTTCTTCCCTTCCGATTTTTTCAAAGGATTTTGTCAACGAACAATGGGAATCAGCAAAACCGAAGTGTTTCTGCTCCGAAAGGGAAGAACGGGAAGACGACCAATGCACAAAGAGAAAAAGCAGTCGGAAAAAACCCATCCGGTCGACACCAACACCGTCGTCGCTAACAACAGCCAAACAAACAGGCGCTGCACAGATTTGATCCGCACATATATGCGACCCGACGAACCGGGCGCCGTGACACCGATATTTAAGCCGATACAACGTCAACGACAACAATAGCGACCGGAGAAGGAATACGTCTCTATCCCGAAACGATGACAAGCAGAGCAAGCAATCGGCCTAGCGCCATAGTATCCGGTTAATGAAAGCCGAATAATAAGAAACGAAGATGTTCCACCAAATGACGCTTCTTTGAACGACTAGCAGTCGGAATCATCCCACAGTTCCCTGTTCTTAATTGGAATAACCGACCAGCCGACGACGCGACGGTCCGAGCTGCGGACGGTCGAGCGGCCTTTCTGACGAACCACCACGCAAGCACGAACAAGAGCGGCCGCCGCCAACAGCTTCTTCAAAAATCAAGCGAGGTCCGATTTTGCTCTCTGTGTTTTAATCTTGCGTCGCAACAACACCGATGAAATTATCGCGACCGGCCACGAGCTCCATTGGCGCCCGACCGATGCTCTAGCCGTTGACAGTAATCGTGCCGATAGCTGTAGTGTTGGTGTTCGCCGCTCGAACCCATGAAATTACTATCGGTTCGAGGCCGTTCATTTTATAGCTCATCAATTCTGATTATTGGAAAGGAAAAGAAGAAAAGCGAGTAAACGATTATGGTTCCCTGCGTCCAAATGAGTGATAGCTGTCTTGTTGACTAATTCGTCAGCTCCTCCGTTCACCCAAGATGGATTCCTCTTCCTTCTCAACATGGTGCGGCAACAACGTCCAGTGAGCGACCGAAGGACCAACCGACCGCCCAACAAGCAGTCGATCACGCGCTGTCTTCACCTTAATTTCGGCTCATTCTGTCCTGTATCCGAATCAGTGCTTAATTCGATTTCCGATATGATTCTTCCGTCTTTCTTCCGGAGCTTTGACGTGTCACGCGTGGTTATTCTTACATTTTATCTTTTCGAGCGTCCATGACCTGTATCTGGTCGCTATGTAAGGAGAAGTATTGGACGAGCGTTTCCCCAATTGAAATCTTCGGTCGATAAATCAGACACTTAGAGTGAAATACAGCGCGACGTCTCCGCTCCGATTTCTCCAGGGACCTAGGATATTCTTCGAGCTGATTCGCGCTCCGGGAAGAAGAGCGGTCTACGAACAAGAGGAGAAGAACTCTGATTGAATACCGGTAGCACCAGCGGCTCAATCGAAGGGAATGTGTTGAAACGAGTGAGGACAGTGAGTTAGCATCTCTAGCTCTCCCATTTTTCCCCCAGAGAGGATGAGAGAGCGATCGTAGATTCTTGGAGGAGCCATACAAGCAAACGGTGGGATTACCCGTGAACGTAGCATTCGACGTAGAAGCGTTGCCTTTCGCTTCCGAGAAACAGTTGAGGCGGGCCGCGACAGTTCCACCATTCAGAAAGGCGGAATCGACGACAGACGTTTCTCTACCGTAACCCAAAAAGTAGACATTCGGGTGCGTGAGGAATTCCTTGACGCTGTCTGAGGAGAACCCTGTCGCTGTCCAGGGAACGCTTACCCCGGTGACGTTCGGTGAGGGACGTATGCTTTCACACTGACGTTGGTGACGCTTCAAGAATTGACCTTCTTTCTGAACAAACATCGATGGATGGATGAACGACTCAAATCGATCGATTGTACACTCGAGCGATTCCAAGCCGAGAGCTTCGTGAGAATCCCGATCGATATCTTCCATGACTTCTCAAGTCCGATCGAATGCCTCAATCAATCACGGGACTTCCCGAATATTCCATGGGTGGAAAGATAGCCACTGATATTTTGAGGCTTTCTGACCTTCGTGATGTCCATTCCGTCGGATTTTCCCTCAAGTTCTCGAACCCTGTTGTCGTTATACCGCGAGGTTGCTAACGTTATCGCTGTTTTCGAAGCTTATTCGCTTTCTCTCAGCACGAGCTAACCTTCGCATCGGCGTCTTTCGCTTTATTGTGTTTGACGCTTTTTCGCTGACTGGGCTTTCGGAGTCGGCAGAAGTACGTCACGTAATCTGTCGCACCCGGGAAAGGCGTTTTCTCGCTCTGTACATTTCGGTTCGTTAGTGGAAAATATATATCCGATGACGGATTGGAGACCTCGCTCTAGAAATCAACATAGGTCTCGGGCGGTTTTTGTTAAAAAAAAGAGCGCTTCGGTCCCACCACTCGTCGTATCCGGGTTGCTTCTTCTCGTTAGGTTCATTTTTTCGGAGCTTCTCGATATCGTTCACAGAATGCGCGGATGATAATCTGTCACCGTGATAAATAAACGATCAAGAACGCTTCTCCCGCCTGTCTTCACTTCCAATCTCTCCATCTTGCCCTCGGCCGACAGCAGGACGACACAAGCGAACATCGACCAGGACGAGGAGAATGGGGTCTCATTGGAAAAGAATCCCCTCGGAGCCTGTCGGAGCCTTTCCAGCTTTATTCCCCGCCGCTTCCAATCCCACGAGACGGCAAGGGTGAAAATATTGACGTTCATCGACGCAATCCAGACTGGATACTGCCGGCACCCCGACTTCGACAGCCTATCCCTTTCCGCCCTAAACCCAAGTCTCACCTAATAGGGGGGTATGATAGCGCCATAACCGCCCAGCAGGACGGGATCTATCGGCGACCGATACCGGCGTTTCCCATGGAAGCTCATCTGGATCGTAATCTTATCTATACTGGGTTATAGATGAACATGGCATGCGAAGCAGTTGATTCGGATCGAGCGCGCGGCGTCGCGTATCTCCAATGGGAAATCTCCGGAGTAATATCGCAGGCGACGCGATAAAATGCGTTGCGTTTTCCGTCGTTTCATTTTTCATTCGTTCTTTCTTCGCGCGTTTTGAGTGAGTGGGTAAAGTTGTGCTTCCATTCTTCTGGACTTTCATTCTTCTCGACTCACTACCACCTTGTGAGGTTGCCTTGGCCGAGGGCCGAAACTTCGGCGCGCGGACCGAAGAACACCCTGATCGTGATTCCGAGGCGAACTCACTCGTTCGCGTTCAATGCGGTAGTCCGTCTTTCCAGGGGAGAAGAGAAGACGAAGCAAATCTATTTCCTCCGAGCTCGACGTCGGTGTTTCAATCAAGTTCCGGATGCCTAATTTGAAGGGCTTCCACCACCACCGACAACCACCCAAACAATCCATTGCGCAGCGACGGAGGGTTCCGAACAGCTGATCGTGTTTCTGAACGGGGAGTGGTCCTTCGTTCGACAGAAACGAAGCGAACACAAAAACTGAACGGAGAAAAATCGCCAACGGCAGCTGTCGAACGGTAACAGTTTCGTCAGGTGGCACGTAGCCCATCGTTTCCTCGACGGACTATTGTGTCTATTCCATGAAATGCCTCCTCGTGAGTGAGTGAGTGAGTGAGTCCGTTCGTCCGTCCGTCTGTCTGTCTCCGCGAGTTCAGACGAAAAAAAAACATGGAGTGACAGAACGTATTTCGAGAAAGCTTCGAGTCAGAAGAAGACGAAAAGCAGGAGCTCAAGAGGAGCCCCAAGCTAAGCCAGAAGGAATGCTCGAATTCGTCACATCATCCCGGAGGAAGAGCCGTGCCCCGAGGAACCCCGAAAAGGTCCTCACTCGATCAT